AAAAGAATTCAACAAAATCTCTTCAAAATACTGACAGAACATAAATGGCAATCTACAAAATCTATGGCAAAATAAAGACATTTTCTGGCAAGGCAAAGGAGGGGAAAAAGAAAAGAGAAGAGAAAGCCTTTACCACTAACAGACCTTACAGTGTTAAAACTAATTAGAAAAAATGTAGATTAGCTGGGCCAGTTTCTGGAATATATGGAAGACAGCATCAGTATTTTTAACCAGGATAAAGCTTCGGAGACAGCTAAAACCTAAAATTATGGCTATTTCTAACATCAAATCAAAGATACTTATTCATGATTGCATATTTTCTCTCTACTATTTGGGATGATACAAACCCTATTCACTTGCTGATTAACCTGAAATTTTTAATATCCCTTCATAACTAGTCTATAGTTGGTCAATATCTTACCTCCTGAACAATACAAGGACCTAAGAATCACTTCCACCCAAGTATGTCAATAATTGTAGTTCAGTATTTTAGTTCTAGTTGGTCAATATCTTACCTCCTGAACAATACAAGGACCTAAGAATCAATTCCACCCAAGCATGTCAATAATTGTAGTTCAGTATTTTAGTTCTACATTTTTTAGCTTTACAAATTAAATATAATTGTCACTTTTGATCAGATCTCATTCTTTTTTGCTTTCTTTTTAAAATGCTAAATAAAAATATCTCTTCACAGACTACCAAGGGGAAATATTAAAATTTTTGAATGAAGATTCAGGAGAGCAGGGAGGGCATGTGAGGTAATCAACATCTCATAAATAGTTCCCAAATAAGGTCTTTTCTTGCTTAGCTGTGTCATACATGCCTGCGCAACATTTTGTACAAAAATATTCATGTAGCTTTATTCATAAGAGCCACCAACTGAAAACCAACCAGATGTCCATCAACAGATGAACAAACTGTATATTTATATAATAGTACTCAACTATAAAAAGGAAAAAAACTACTGATATTTACAATAACAAATTAATCTCAAAAATATCATGCTGAGTAAAAGAAAATTTATATAAAAGAATATATGCTGTAATGATTCCATTTATATGAATTTCTAGAACAGCAGTAAACTAATCCCTGGTGGAAAAAAATGGAACAATGGTTGCCTCTGGATGGATAAGGATGAGGAGTAAGTGAAAAAGGACATAAGGAACTCTCTGGGGAAGTTAGTAATGATCCGTATCTTGACAAGGATTTGGATGACACAGTTATACGCATTTGTTAAAACTCATGGTTTTAACAAACTCATGAACAAATGGTTCACTTAAGAACTATACATTTCATTGTACAGTTGACCTTTGAACTTGGAGGTTAGGGGCACCAACTCCCAGCACAGTCAAAAGTCTGTATATATATAACTTTTGATTCCTCAAAAACTTAAGTACTAATAGCCTACTCTTGACCAGAAGCCTTACCAGTAACATAAACAGTTGATTAACACATATTTTGTATGTTATATGTATTATATACTGTATTCTTACAATAAAATCAGCTAGAGAAAAGAAAATGTTAAGAAAATCATAAGAGAAAATATCTTTGCAGCGCCTGGGTGGCTCAGTCGTTAAGCATCTGCCTTCGGCTCAGGTCATGGTCCCAGGGTCCTGGGATCAAGCCCTGCATCAGGCTCCCTGCTCCGCGGGAAGCCTGCTTCTCCCTCTCCCACTCCCCCTGCTTGTGTTCCTGCTCTCGTTGTGTCTCTCTCTGTCAAATAAATAAATAAAATCTTTAAAAAAAAAAAGAAAATATCTTTACAGTATAGTAGTATATTTATCAAAAAAATCTGCATATAAGCGTACTTGTGCCGTTCAAGCCCATGTTGCTCAAAGGTCAACTGTATATACATTTTATATTAAAAGAAAAATACATAAATATTGAATTTTAGTTAATGATATGCATACTGAAGTATACTAATTTCAAACTTCCATGGAAGTGCATCAAAAAAATAAGACCAATGATAGATGGATATATATGAGATCAGGTGTAGAATCTGGGTGGTAAGTGTATTAGATTCCCAGTGGCTGCTCTAACAAATTACAACAAATTTGTTGGCTTAAAAGAACTCAAATTTATTCCATTACAGTTTGGGAGGTCAGAAATCTGATTATGTTCTTAACTAAAATCAAAATGTTGTCTGGGCCACATACCTTCTGAAGTCTCTACAGAAAAATTCCTTGCCTCTTCCAGCTTCCACCTGCATTCCTTGAGTCATGATTTGCTTCCACCATCTTCAAAGGCAGCAGCACAACATCTTCAAATCTCTCTGACCATGCCCCCTACTTCTGTCATCACATCTTTTTTTCTGATATTGATTATCCTGCTTCCTTTTGATTCTAAACCCTTGTGACACTGGGCCCACCTGAATAATCCAGCAAAATCCCTCCATCTCAAAATTCGTAACTTTATCACATCTGCAAAATCCTTTTTTTAAAGTTTTGTTTATTTGGGAGAGAGAGAGAGAAAGAGAATGGGGGAAAGACAGAGGGAAAGGGAGAGAATCCCAAGTAGGCTCCATGGCCATTGTAGAGCCTGATGTGGGGCTCGATTCCACGACCCTGAAATCATGACCTGAGCTGAAACCAAGAGTTGGAGGTTCAACCAACTGAGTCCTCAGGCACCCCTGCAAAATTCCTTTTCTCATGTAAGGTAACATATTCAAGGTTTCTGAGGATTAGGATGTGGACAGCATTGGGATGCCTTTATTCTACCTACCACGGTGGGTATATGGGTGTTTACTGTGAAATTCTTTCAACTATTGTGTATTTTTTAAATTTTCCTAATAAAATATGGGAGAAAAATTAAAATTCCACAATAGGGATAAAGTGTTACCACCATGGTAAATGTGAAAATCAATACGTCTCTTTTTCCAATGAAAGGGAGGAATTTTTCCCCTTCTTAAGAATAAAGCTCTTCTTTCAATGAAGATTATTATTAAAGTAGCATATACTCCTGCACTTAGTTATTGAAAACACGGTTCCTGTTGCTACCCTGAAACTTTCAAAAGATTTTTAAAGGAAGCTTATTTTTTAAGTTGGAAATATAATGCTTGAGGGCGCCTGGGTGGCTCAGTTGGTTAAGCGACTGCCTTCGGCTCAGGTCATGATCCTGGAGTACTGGAATCGAGTCCCGCATCAGGCTCCCTGCTGAGGAGGAAGTCTGCTTCTCCTCTGAACCTCTTCCCTCTCATGCTCTCTATCTCTCATTCTCTTTCTAATAAATAAATAAAATCTTTAAAAATATATATATAATGCTTGAAACACAGTAAAACAGAATATGAAGTTCTAAACAGTTACCTAAAGTTGTTTTAACTTATAAAAAATACCACGTTAAGCTATTCTTACAAAAATAATTTTTTACTGCTTACCCAACATATCCTTTTTTAGCAGGATTTCTTCTTTATTAAAATAGGCTTTAATTATACAGATAATAAGTACCTTTATATAGGATGAATACTGTGGTAATTAAATTTTCTTATTATGATAACAAGTTTCAATATTTTTAAATCCTAGAACAAGAATCACATAAAAAAATGTTTCAGATCTTTTTTTCTCACAGCTCATTTTCAGGAAATCACCAAATTCTATTGATTCTCCTTCCTATCTCTTTTTTTTTTTTTTTAGGCTTTTATTCATTTATTTGAGAGAGAGAGCACAAGCAGGCAGAGCAGCAGAGGGAGAGGGAGAAGCAGGCTCCCTGCTGAGCAGAGAGCCTGAAGCGAGGCTCGATCCCCAGGACCCTGGAATCATGACCTGAGCCAAAGGCAGATGCTTAATGCCTGAGCCACCCAGGTGCCCTCCTTCCTGTCTCTTCGGTTCTATTTTCACAGTTATATATAAATCCTAAGTGACCCCAATTCCCAGTTCATTATTACAGTAGTTTTATAGTCTATTTTCTTCTCTCCATAATCGTACCAACTCCTATCTATCTTACAGAAAACTGACAACAGAGGTGCCCAGGTGGCTCAGTTGTTAGGCGTCTGCCTTCGGCTCAGGTCATGATCCCAGGGCCCTGGGATCAATCCCCGAGTTGGGCTCCCTGCTCCATGGGAAGCCTGCTTCTCCCTCTCCCACTCCCCCCTGCTTGTGTTCCCTCTCTCTCTGTGTCTCTCTCTGTCAAATAAATAAATGAAACCTTTAAAAGAAAGAAAGAAAGAGAAAGAAAGGAAGAAAACTGACAACACACGCTTCAAATTTAGACCCACAGAGTCTCAGAAATGAAAGGCTTTTAAGGGGTTTTGAACAATACAGATCTGCTGAAACCAAACAACTCTTACAATTTTATATAGGGGCCCCTGGGTGGCTTAGTTGGTTAAGCATCTGACTCTTGATTTCAGCTCAGGTCATGATCTCAGGATCGTGGGATGAAGCCCCATGTCAGCCTCCCTGCTTGTCCCTCTCTCTCTCCCTCTGCTCCTCCTCTGCTCATTTGCTCTCTCTCCCTCCTCTCTCTCTCTCAAATAAATAAAAAAAACTTAAAGAAAACCAATTTTAAGTAGATATTTCCTTTCTAAATAAATACCTCAAGAGTTATTACTTTAAAAAATAAGGATATATTTATTCTTTGAATCAGAATACTTACTACACATTTATTTTGTCACTCAAAAATGTATTGCTGTTTCATTACTTAATCATTCATAGGCACCTATCTCATAGCCTTTAACAAAAATGTAATTTCCTGAAGAGCAGCTCTTTTTTATCAGCCATAGTGTCTAACTATGTGCTACCTATGCACTCCAAGGCACTTGGAGGTAAATACTAGCTGACTTACCAAGTATTTAACAATCTGAAAATCCATTTTACTTTTTGCTTTATAAATTCTTCTTTTTCCTTCTGTGATATCTGCTTTTTTCTCTTTTACTTCATTATCTGGACCATATTTCTTCTTTCAAAATAAGAAGTTATTTTGTTAGGTCTTTTTTCCCCCCCTTAAACCAAATGGCTGGATAAAATCAAGTTCCTTGATTTAAAAAAGCATTTTAAAAATGAGCTTACCCTTCTCATACGTAACTCCTCTAATGCTTCCAGTAAACTTGTTTTGAAATCTAATAGCTGTATAGAAAACATTGTCTCCGAAGAACTTTGAAGAGCAAAGGTAGAGGATGACGAATCAGTCTTAAAATCATTCTCCATATTAACATTTATTTCCTGTAATATAAAAAGGTTTTAACTGAAAAAAATCATTTATCTAAGTTTTTAAAGTATAAGTGCAGTTACCATAGAAATATAACAACCTATATCCCATAATCCTCTAGGTTTAACACTGAGTAACAGTTTTGTCATCACTCCTATTCTGATCTTGATACACAAAACACTGAGCAATGATGATCCAGCCACAGTTTCTCTGTGGCTGAGGCTTTTTCTGTTACTTTAGTATCTGCAGGGACTAAATTTTTGACATGCCCCTAAACACCACGTCCTAAAAGCTAAATTCTTAAAGTTGCAGGCAAGGCTTGACCCTTCAATAATTGCTTCGTACCAAAGCTGCCAGACACTGTGCTTCCTAACTTTGCTTTGATATACAGCATTCTGTAAGGATGGTATGAATACTAACAGTAATGCAATCTTTAATCCCTACAAAGTTGAAAGAAGAAAAGTGGAGTAACTGCCTTTTATTAAAACTCAAGGCACTTATATATCTTTCTCAACCGAGATAATGTATGATTCAGGCTGCAAGAAACTTCTCTTTTCAACTTTTCATAATAATAATTATCAATTCATAGACAGTTGGAAAGAAATGTACAGGGAGTCCTATACACCATTCACTCAGCCTCTCCCAACATTAATATCTTGCAGAATAATAGTACAATATAAAAACTGTATGTCTGACATTGGTACAATCCACAGAATTTATAGTAATTCTACCAGTTATACATTCACTTATTTGTGTGTGGGTGTGTGTATAATTCTTTGGAAGTTTATTATATCTATAGCTTCATGTAACTACCACTACAATCAAAATACAGAATTGTAGCATCAACCATGGTTCCCAGCTTCTTTGTTTCCATACCGACTACTACACTAATTCATTCTCTATTTCTATAATTGTTATTTCAACAGTGTTATATAAATGGAATCCTACATCATATAACCTATTAACTGGATTTTTTTCAGGGGTGCCTGGCTGGCTCAGTCGGTAGGGCACATGACTCTTGACCTCAGGGTTGTGAGCTCGAGCCCCATGCTGGGTATTGAGATCACTTAATTAATTAATTAAGCTCCCCTAATAAAAAAAGACTGGATTTTTTTTCACACATAATAATCACCTTGAAGTTCATCTAGGCTGTTGTACCAACAGTTCATTCCCTTCTATTGCTGAGTAGTAGTCCACGGTATGGACATACTATGGTTTGTTTACTATGCACTCACTCACTGAAGGACATGTGAGTTGTTTTCAGATTTGGCTTTTATGAATAAAGCTGCCATGAATGAACATTCATATACAAGTTTCTACATGATGTAAGTTTTCATTTCTTAAAGATAAATGTCCAAGAGTACAATTGCTGGGCTGAATGAATAGAGTCCACTTTTGGTTGTGAAAGAAACTGCCAAACTATTTTCCAGAATGGAAATACCATTTTCCATTCTCACTGGCAATGTATGAGTGATCCAACTTCTCCAAATCCCCACCAGCATTCAATGTTATCACTACTTTTTATTCTAGCCATTCTGATAGGCATTATTTTAGTAAGCATTACCCAGAGAAACAGAGCCAATAGGATGTATGTGTACAGAGAGAGATAAATTTATTTTAAAGAACTGGCTCATGTGATTGGGAGTCTGGCAAACCTGAAATGTTCAGGGCAGACCAGCAGGTTGGACATTCAGTGAAGGGTTGACCAAAGGCAATCCAGAAGCAGAATTCCTTCTTCCTTGGGGAACCTGAGTCTTTTCCTCTTAAGGCCTTCAACTGTTTGGATGAGGACCACCCACATTATGGAGGGAAATCTGCTTTATTCAAAGTCTACTGATTTAAACGTTATTCTCATTTAAGAACTACCTTCACAGCAGTATCTAGACAGGTATTTGGCCAAATACATTTGGTCAATATGTTTGTTTGTTGTTTTTTTTTTTTTTGAGTTTACCCTTCATAGCCTGGCCAACTTGACCCATAAAATTAACCATCACAGGTGTGTATACAAGAAACTTTCTAAAAGGGAAACTTCCATTCCTGAAAATGATGGGCTATGTTATCTGGATGAACCCTCCAACTAAAAACAACTAATAATTTTGAATAAAATATTTTTAAACTTTCTTAAAAGTATCAAAGACATAGCAAGATACTAAGAAAAAAAAATCATGAAGCCAAATTCTAAATTCCAAAAAGACCATGAGTCAAGAAATAAACTGAACACAGAAAGCCATCTTTACCCTGTGGGCACTTGCCAAACTGAATAAAATTAAATAACAGCATTGATGACCTCTGGTTTGAGAAATAGGTAATGCAAACCTAGGGCCTGCCAAAGTAGGAAGTCCAATAAGAGACCTATTAAGTAGAAATCAGAATAGTTAAACTCAGGAAAGGTTGAAGCAAAAATAACCTACCTTCTATATGATAACTGCCTAGGTGCCAAGCAGATGAAACATAAAGAGGAAAGGAAACAAGAGACAGGAGGGAGAAAATAAAAAATGTCACATCCCAGAAAGCTTTAAACAACTTAATTTCAGATGAGTTTGTTAACAAAGATTGTTTCACAGGATAGTGAAAGAAACCTCAACTTATGAATAGGATTTCAAATGTTTCTAGACTGGTAGTGTCCATAAGAACCTGGTAGAACCAAATAAAAATTCTTTCCAGAGAAATGTAACTATATTGTAGGTACTCAAAAAATCTTCACAAATTATTTTTCAAGGACAATGAGTAAAGCATAAAAATAATCAGGTGTAGAACACAACAGTGCCTTATGAGAACAAGCAGAAAAAAAAATAGATAATGGAAACAATATGCAAAGGAGATTTTTAAAAGATCCCAGTATAATTTCTAGATAGGAAGAGTATATAATCAACTGATAATTCAATATGTTTGGCAAAGACAAGACATAGCTGAAGAGAGATTTAGTCTACTAGAAAACAGATTAGGTACAATATCAAGAATGCAGCAAGGAAATATAAAAATGGAAAGTACAGAAGAAAGGTTAAGAAAGATGGAATATAAAGTGAGAGGCTATACCAGTTCCAGAAAGAAGAAAGAAATAAAGAGACATAAACTATATTCTGAAGAAATAACAGCTGAGAATTTTCCAAAACTGAAGAAAACACCAAGATTCAGATCAAGAAGTCCAGTGAACCCAAAAATACTGTTTTGATTTAGTTCTGAATGAAAAGAAACATGTAGGTTGCATTGAGAAACTGAAGAGAAAGGAGTTAATTTTTTGTTTTAATCTCATGTTGAATTAATTGTACTTAGTTCATGGCTTACAAATATCTTTGGTCCATGCACTCTCCACCCTTTAATACTGTTTTATTCTTTTTAGTACTTGTTTTCTAGTTCCATTCCCAATCGTGACAGACCACCCCTAATACTTTTGATATACATTCTTGAATCTATAGTTATCCTTTTAACATACATAGTATTATGTGTGTGTACATTTAATTCACAGAAATTCTATTATGCTATACAGGAAAAAAAAAAAAAGAATTGCAGGGGTGCCTGGGTGTTTTAGTTGGTTAAGTATCCGATTCTTGGTTTCAGCTCAGTCATGATCTCAGGGTTGTGAGATTGAGCCCTGCCTCAGGCTCTGCACTCAACGGAGAGTCTGCTTGAGTTTCCCTCTCCCTCTGTCCCTTTCCCATGCATGCACATGCTCTCTCTACCTCCCTCTAAAATAAATAAAATAAAAAGAACTGCAGTGAAACCAAAATAGATTTTAAAAATCCATATCTACAGATATCACAGGAAAAATATGAAAAAATCTTAAAAGAACACAACTAAATCTCAAAGGACTTAAAGCATATACTATTACCAAAACAAAGAATCAAAATATGGGAATGAAAAATTACAGGCCAATATAATTCATGAAAGTAGATCCTAATTCTAAATGAAATAATAGCATACTGAAACTGGCAATAGATAAAAATGATATATCATAACCAAGTTGGATTTATCACAGAAATCTAAGGTTTAACATTTAAAAACCAATTACTGTAATTCTCTACATTATGATGTTAAAAGAAAAACAATTACATGATCAGAAAGAAAAAAACATCTGAAAATACACACCTGCTTATGATTTACTATTGGACTGGAAGGAACACCCACAGGGAAGAGAATGGAGACTGTAAAGAACACTTCTACTGTCTTCCTTTACACTATACACAATACTTCATTTCTGATACTTCTGGTCACCAAATAAATGGGGGGTAAATCTACCCCAAACACTTCTGTGACATCGGTTGGGTAAACTACAATTTAACTCAATTCTGACCCTATCTACCTGGAGATAACATCAGATCAGATCCCAGAGGTTAAGGGTTCAGTCCTATAAGACTTGCCCCTATCACCACCTCAAATGCCAATTCCACATCCAGATTGCCACCTATACTTCTGACCGACTGGTTACAAATTAGAAGTTTCCATGACCCCCCTCCTCCTCAGGTTCAATTAATTTGCTAGAGCAGCTCACAAAACTCAGAAAAACAGTTTACTTGTTAGATAACCAGTTTATTACAAAGGATATTAAAAGTTACAAATAAACAGCCAGATGAAGACATACATAGGGAGAAACCTAGAAGGGTTCTAAGCACAGGAGCTTCTGTTCTTATACAGTCTGGAGTACACCATCCTCTTGGCTCGGAGATGCATTCTTTTGGTGGGGGGTTACAGAGGGAGAGAGAGAATCTTAAGCCGGCTCCATACCCAACGTGGAGCCCATCACAGGGCTCAATCTCACAACCCTGAGATCAGAACCTGAGCCAAAATCAACAGCCAGACGCCTAAAACTGACTGAGCCACCCAGGTGCCTCCAGAGGTGCATTCTTGTTCACCAGTTCAGAAGCTCTGCAAACCCCTGCAGTTCAGGGATTTTTATGGAGGTTTCATTACACAGACATACTGATTACATCATTGGCCATTAGTGACCAAGTCTATCTCTAGTCCCTCTCCCCTCCTAGACTAGGTCTGGTGGGGAGGGGAA